ACTCAAAGCTCAAGGAGGCCAAGGCAGGAGGATTCCTTGAGTCCAGGAGTTTGAGACCAGCCTGAGCAACAAAGCAAGACCCTGCCTCTATAAAAAATTTTAAAAATTGGCTCAGTGTGGTGCCACGTAACTGTAGTCCCAGTTACTTGGGAAGCTTAGGCACGAGGTTCCCCTAAGCCCAGGAGTTTGAGGTTGCAGTGAGCTACGATTGTGCCACTGTACTCCAGCCTGGGCAAGAGTGAGACCTTCTTTTTATAAATAAATAAATATAGAAGAAACATCAACAAATCTGTGGCCAATAAAGTCCCCAATACTATAGTCATGTGAGTCTGTGAAGAAACAGACCACGAATTGAAAACACTAGTTTATCTAAGAAACAGGAATATCTTCATTTCAAGATCAATTTAACTTAGGACCTAAAAAGAATTTAAAAGGCTAAAGTTTTCAAAAACTAATTCAGCACTGTTCCTTTTAAAGTTTTTTTTTTTTTTTTTTTTTTGAGACAGAGTCTCGCTCTGTCGCCCAGGCTGGAGTGCAGTGGCCGGATCTCAGCTCACTGCAAGCTCCGCCTCCTGGGTTTACACCATTCTCCTGCCTCAGCCTCCCGAGTAGCTGGGACTACAGGCGCCCGCCACCTCGCCCGGCTAGTTTTTTATATTTTTTTAGTAGAGACGGGGTTTCACCGGGTTAGCCAGGATGGTCTCGATCTCCTGACCTCGTGATCCGCCCATCTCGGCCTCCCAAAGTGCTGGGATTACAGGCTTGAGCCACCGCGCCCGGCCTTCTTTTAAAGTTTTTAAGCTCAATTTTTAATTAACTAAAATGAAATAGGAATACTTTCCTTTTATTAACTTTTTAGTCCTGAGTCATTCTGGATCCATGTGAGCCCTTTCAGAGCAAGCACTCAGTCATCTGCAGGTAACCCTCCTCCCTTTTCGGAACCAGCAGAATCTAGTGAATACCATAATAACACTTCTTTCTTCACTCATCAGCCATGAAGACCCAGAAAAAGTTTTAGCTGTCTACAATTTATCCATCAAGTACTTCAACAGTAATAAAGGAAGTAACCAAGTCATCCAACAGTCTTTTCTTTTTTTGAGACAAGGTACTTGCTCTGTCACCCAGGCTGGAGTACAGCGGCGCAATAACAGCTCACCGTAGTCTTGACCTCCAGACTCAACTGATCTTTTCAACTCAGCCTCCCAAGTAGCTGAGGCCACAGTTGTGCGCATGCCGCCAGGCCCGGCTAATTTTTTATTTTTTATAGAGACAGGGTCTCCCTATGTTAGCCAGGTTGGTCTCAAACACCTGAGTTCAAATGATTCTCCTGCCTCAAGCCTCCTGAAATGCTAGGATTACAAGCATGAGCCACCACACCCAGTCAACAGAGTCTTTTGGTTATCAATTAGGATTCTTACATTATCTAGCTCCTACTTACATTTGCTATCTTGCAAATGTATCAGTTTCTCACACATAATAAAATTCAGCTGCCACAAAGTCATATACTTTAGGTCTCTGTTAAATACACTGGGGTTCTTCACCACCATGAATAAGCCAAAGAATAAGATCTCAATCTACCATTTCTTTTCATTACTCTGCAAAACATCAGTGGTATACTCTGCAAACAGATAAGAATTTATTATATACAGTCATGACCTCCATGAATCCTCCTTATATTAATGGAAACAAATAAAAACAGAACTTGGCCAGGCGAGGTAGCTCACCTCTGTAATCTCAGCACTTTGGGAGGCTGAGGCGGGTGGATCGTGAGATCAAGAGTCTGAGACCAGACTGGCCAACATGGTGAAACCCCATCTCTACTAAAAATACAAAAATTAGCTGGGCATGGTGGTGTGCACTTGTAGTCCCAGCTACTTGGGAGGCTGAGGCAAGAGGATCTCTTGAACCTGGGAGGCGGAGGTGGCAGTCAATGATCGTGCCACTGCACCCCAGACTAGGCGACAGAGTGAGACTCCATCTCAAAAAAACAAAAACAAAAACAGAACTTGCTTCCCAAAGCAGCTTAACAATACTAGCTGAAGAATACAAAAATACTACAACTAAAAAATATATTTCAAAATTACTACCTATCATCCTTGTATATTTCTCATCTCAGAACAATACTTAGCAACAATGTCTGTTAATGAATGCTCATCTAATGGGTTAACTTACAGATTTTATCCAAAAATGAGATATCATAATCCTCTCATAATTTTAATACTGCACAGTCTCAGGCACTGACCTTAACTTCAACCTCCTCAATCAAGACCTAAAAAGGTTTAATGATGACTGGAAGAAAATATAAAAGAACAAAAACCAAACCTCACATCAAAAATCATAACAATTAAAACCAATTTATTACATCTACTAGCAACACATTAAAAACCTATTTTTCTTGAATTTTCAAAACTGTCAACAAATACTTGCACAATCTCATGAAATCTAACTTTATGAGAGAAATCTGAAACTTTACACTACGATTTTGCTGAAAGTAATTGCTTGACAAGAGTGGTTTTAGGCTAGTGATCTCATATAGGGATTTTGCTGGAATCATATCTGCTGTATATAACATTTAACATACAGAAGAATGCATCTTTCTCCTAAAGGAACAATGCAATCTGAGAGAATATATATGTGTTTTACAATTAACATATCAACTATTTGTTTCAAATTGGTTATCTCCAAGTTTATTAGGCCAGGCATGGTACTCACGCCTGTAATGCCAGCACTTCGAGAGACCAAGGTGGGAAGATCACTTGAGCCCATGAGTTGGAGACCAGCTGGGCAACATAGGGAGACTCCGTCTCTACAAAAAATTAAAAAATAAAATAGCTGGGCTTCACTTTGGGAGGCCGAGGCAAGAGGATCACCTGATGTCAGGAGTTCGAGACCAGCCTGACCAACATGGAGAAACCTCTCCTCTACTAAAAATACTAAAAATACAAAATTAGCCAGGTGTGGTGGCGGATGCCTGTAATCCCAGCTACTGAGGCTGAGGTAGGAGAATCGCTTGAACCCGGAAGGCAGAGGTTGCAGTAAGCTGAGATTGCACCATTACACTCCAGCCTGGGCAACAAGAGCAAAACACAAAATAGCTGGGCTTGGTGGCATGAGTCTGTAGTCACAGCCACTGGGAAGGCTGAGGCAAGAAGGCTGCTTGAGTCAGGAGGAGTTTGAGGCTGCAGTGTGCTATGATCATACTACTGCACTCCAGCCTGGGTGACAGACTGTTTCTAAAAAAAAAAGGTCACTCGTATAACAGGTTACTTTTCAGCACATAGTTTTCTCCATTTGAAGGATTAGCAGGAGTTCGTGACCAGCCCGGCCAACTTGGCGCAACCCCGTCTCTACTAAAAATAGAAAAATTAGCCGGGCATGGTGGCGGGCGCCTGTAGTCCCAGCTACTCGGGAGGTTAAGACAGGAGAATAGCTTGAACCTGAGAGGCAGAGGTTGCAGTGAGCTGAGATCGCACCATTGTACTCCAGCCTGGGCAACAAGAGTGAAACTCCGACTTGAAAGAAAAAAAAAGAAAGAAAAAGAGTAAAAGGAAAAGGAAGGAAGGGAGGGAGGGAGGAAGGGAGGGAAGAAGGAAGGGAGGGAGGGAAGGAAGGAAGGAGGGAGGGAGGGAGGGAGGAAGGGATTAGAATAGGCTAGCAATAAAGCAAATGGAAAAACCTTTATGAAGACACAGATGGAGGAAGAGTTGCTTCTTTGTTCAAGTATGGACTAACATACTCAATCTTTTATCTGATTCCACATTCTTCCCTTGTGCAATCCACGCCCATCAATAATATCTTTATGTAAATACTATGTCCCTTCTGAGCGATAGGTGAGGCAAGGGAGAGAACAAGCACAGTTCTAAATTATTGATATTAAAAAAAAAAAAACTTGGCCGGGCGCGGTGGCTCATGCCTCTAATCCCAGCACTTTGGGAGGTAGAGGCAGGTGGATCACCTGAGGTCATGAGTTCAAGACCAACCTGACCAACATCGTGAAATCCTGTCTTTAGTAAATACAAAAAATTAGCCAGGTATGGTGGTGCGTGCCCGTAATCCCAGCTACTTGGGAAGCTGACACAGGAGAATCGCTTGAACCTGGGAGGCGGAGGTTGCAGTCAGCCGAGATTGCAACACTGCACTCCAGCCTGGGCAACAAGAGCAAAAATTCCGTCTCAAAAAAACAAAAAACAAACAAACAAAAAGAAAACAGAAACAAAAAAACCTGGTTGGGCACTGTGGCTCATGCCTGTAATCCCAGCACTTCAGGAAGTCAAGGCGGGAGGACTGCCTGTGTCCAGCAGTTCAAGACCGGCCTGGGCAACATAGTGAGACCTAGTCTCTACAGAAACAAAAACAATCCCCAAAAAGCAAAAACCAAAATAAAGCAGCCGAGTGTGGAGGCTCACGCCTGTAATCCCAGCACTTTGGAAGGCCAAGGTGGGTAGATAACTTGAGGTCAGGAGTTCAAGACCAGCCTGACCAAAATGGTGAAACTCCGTTTCTACTAAAAATACAAAATTAGCCAGGTGTGGTGGCAGGCACCTGTAATCCCAGCTACTTGGGAGGCTGAGGCAGGAGAATCACTTGAACGCAGGAGGCGGAGGTTGCAGTGAGCCGAGACTGCATCACTGCACTCCAGCCTGGGCAACAGGAGCGAAACTCCATCTCAGGGGCGGGAAAAAAAAACAGAATAAAGCAATTGTGTCTTCCAAATAACTTTACTCCAAGTATCTAAAATGGTGTGTTGCTAGTAGCATGGTTTTAGCAACCTGTTCCAAGAACTCTGTATTATATTCCTATATAAAGTATTTGGGTATCTACCAGTCACAAGATTATCTATCCTCATGATGGCAGCAAAATACACATGGATATCTAAAAAATAACAACAGCTAAACTTTGAAACGGATCAAGAATTTTCCCCCATCTGTATAGTATCTGCATAGCAGATAAAACACTTTCCAAACTGGAAAGATCTTGGTAAATAGCTAAAGAACACTTACCTCCGTTCCAATTCCAGGTTGCACGCCAGAGTACACACTGTCTGGTGGAGGACCACCATACTTCCTCTGTCCTGTGGTTACATCCAGAGTATAACCAGTTCTCTCAAGCAAGGCCTAAAGATAATTATACATCTCTTTATACTTGAATACTAAATCTAACACACAAGCATCAGTATATTAATCTTTTCCAAAAAGTACTCCAACTTCCTAGGAGATATATTTTTATGGTTAGGTAAAACAAAGTCAAAATTCACACTGGTTCCCCACACGTTTCTACTGGTGAGTCTTTTCAAATAAAATGTTCTCTATCCTTAAAAAAATAATTCAGCATTAAGTCTTACCTCCATGCAGCTTCTCTCATTTACTATTACTCTCACATCCATTTCTTCCTACTGCCTTTCTTTTCTTTTTCTTTTTTTTTTTGGGGGGGGGATGGAGTCTTGCTCTGTTGCCCAGGCTGGAGTGCAGTGGCATCGTCTCGGCTCACTGCAACCTCTGCCTCCTGGGTCTAAGCAATTCTCCTGTCTCAGCCTCCCAAATAGCTGGGATTACAGGCATGTACCACCATGCCCAGCCAATTTTTGTATTTTTAGTAGAGATGGGGTTTCAACATGTTGGCCAGGCTGGTCAGGTACTCCTGGCCTCAAGTGATCCACCTGTCTTGGCCTCCCAAAGTGCTAGGATTACAGGCATGAGCCACTGTGCCCAGCCCCCACTGTCTTTCTAGTGTACCTTTTTTTTTTTTTTTTTTGAGACAGAGTCTTGTTCTGTCACCCAGGCAGGAGTACAGTGGCGTGATCTCGGTTCACTGCAAGCTCCGCCTCCCGGGTTCGTGCCATTCTCCTGCCTCAGCCTCCCAAGTAGCTAGGATTACAGGCATGGGCCACCACACCTGGTTAATTTTTTGCATTTTCAGTAGAGACGGGGTTTCACCATGTTAATCAGGATGGTCTCGATCTCCTGACTTCGTGATTCGCCCACCTCAGCCTCCCAAAGTGCTGAGATTACAGGCGTGAGCCACTGCGCCCGGCCAGGTTTTTAAAATCACACATTGTCAGAACGGCAAGAGACTTTAGATATCATCAAGTTCGGTGAACACTAGGATTCCACAGGGATGCATACCTTCAGCCTTCCATTCTTCTACCTTTGACTGAAACAGAGCCATAAATGTAATGTAAAACAGGGGTCTCCCCACCCCTGGGCCACAGACCCATACTGGTCCGTGGCCTGTTAGGAACCAGGCTGCATAGCAGGAGGTGAGTAGTGGACAAGTGAGAACAAAGCTTCATCTGTATTTACAGCCGCTCCTCATCCTCCCTATCGCTGGCATTACTGCCTGAGCTGTGAGCTCCGCCTCCTGTCAGATCAGCAACCACATCAGATTCTCATAGGAGCGTGAACCCTATTGTGAACTGCGCATACAAGAGATCTAGGTTGCATGCTCCTTATGAGAATCTAATGCCTGAAGATCTGTCACTACGTCCCAGTATGCCCAGATGGGACCATCTAGTTGCAGGAAAACAAGCTCAGGGATCCCACTAATTCTCCACTATGGTGAGTTGTATGATTATTTCATTACATATTACAATGTAATAATAACAGAAATAACTTCAACACCAAATAACTATTTCTAATCAAAAAGTCTATCACAGGCCAGGCATGGTGGCTCACACCTGTAATCCCAGCACTTTGGGAGGGTGAGGTGGGCAGATCCCCCAAGGTCAGGAGTTCAAGACCAGCCTAGCTAACACAGTGAAACCCTGACTCTACCAAAAAATAAAAAAAAAAATCAGCTGGGTGTGGTGGCGCACACCTGTAGTCCCAGCTACTCAGGAGGCTGAGGCAGGAGAATCGCTTGAACCCAGGAGACGGAGGTTGAAGTGAGCTGAAATGGTGCTACTGCACTCCAGCCTGGGCCACAGAGCGAGACTCTGTCTCAAAAAAAAAAAAAGTATATCACTATAGCAAGACACGAACATCCATCCATTTAACTAACGAATTAAGTTCACTGGTCTTTCATTAAAAGCTGTATATATACTTTTCAAAGCTGTTTATCTAAGTAATAAAATGGTAATAATAATAACAGTTCACTGTTACATAGTTCTTGCTACATTCCAGGCATTATTCTAAGTGCTTTATAATATGTTAATTCATTTACTCCTTATAATAACTCTGTGAGGTAGTCACTATTACCATTCCCATTTTACAAATAAAGAAACCGAGGTAACTGAAAATTCAAAAGGAGGAAAGCGGTTGTAACACCTTTTTATCAAGAGAAAAGAAACAGGCCGGGCGCGGTGGCTCAAGCCTGTAATCCCAGCACTTTGGGAGGCCGAGACGGGCGGATCACGAGGTCAGGAGATTGAGACCATCTTGGCTAACACGGTGAAACCCCACCTCTACTAAAAAATACAAAAAACTAGCCGGGCGAGGTGGCGGGCGCCTGTAGTCCCAGCTACTCGGGAGGCTGAGGCAGGAGAATGGCGTGAACCCAGGAGACGGAGCTTGCAGTGAGCTGAGATCCGGCCACTGCACTCCAGCCTGGGCGACAGAGCGAGACTCCGTCTCAAAAAAAAAAAAAAAAAAAAAAGAAAAGAAACAAAGTGGCTGGAAAATAACTGAACTGAACCAAGAGACATTACTGGATCAATCCAAGAAACTACCAGCAGAAGCATCAATAAATACACGTCATTCATCACCACAAAACAGGGAATGAGGAAGAGTATGAAGTAGGGCTTTTCATTAAACATGCAATTGAGTGCTGACCCCCAAAATTATCCTTCTTATGTAATTCCTCTAAATTATTTCACTTCTAAACACCAGTTTTAAAAAGTGAACCTTTCAGCCAGTCGTGGTGGCTCACGTCTGTAATCCCAGCACTTTGAAAGGCCGAGGTGGGCGAATCACAAAGTCAGGAGATAGAGACCAATCTGGCCAACATAGTGAAACCCTGTCTCTCCTAAAAATACAAAAAATTAGCCGGGTGTGGTGGTGCATGCCTGTAATCCCAGCTACTTGGGAGGCTGAGGCAGGAGAATGGTGTGAACCCGGAAGGTAGAGCTTGCAGTGAGCCAAGACTGCGCTACTGCACTCTAGCCTGGGCGACACAGCAAGACTCCGTCTCAAAAAAAAAAAAAGTGAAACTTTCTAGGAAATATGGAAAGAAGCATTTGACCTCATCATTAAATGCAATTTCATTACAACTACCCAAGTCAAGTTTTACCTTGATCTTTGCTTCATCAGGTCCCTTTGTGGACTCTTGCACCTTGCTCCCCTGTTTCTCTCTCTGCCTGTAGGTCTTCATAACTCCACATAAAAATGCACTTTTGTTCTAGAACAGACAAGTAATTCAATAAAAAGAATCACCAAAAATCTTTGAAGGATCAGATATATAATTAAATACAAATTTCAGAAAACCAGGATTTTAACAAAATATTCACTGATTCATTCAACAAGTATTTGCTGAGTGGTTACTTAGTGCCAGAGACTGGAGCAGACAGCAGTAAGGCAGTATAGACCTCAGGGAGCTTACCTTCTACCCTGGGAAAACACAGTCTTTCCATTTGTTATGTGACTGCATCTAGACTGTCTTTGCCAGATGTCTGAAACTATTCCTCCCACCTACATTCTCCTCCAAGGTAACAAAACAGGATCAAATAACCCCCAAATGTTAAAAAGCTGAGTAACATGTAAAAACCTATAGTAACAACCATCAAAACTTGGCTTTAATTTTAAGTTTTTAAAATAACTCACTGCACAAGGGGGTGGGAGGAAACTTTTGCTTTATACTTGTGCTTCTGAAACTCTGCTACAAGCAGATCTTTTTTTCCTTTAAACTAATTTTTTAAAAGAAGAGGTAGTCAAAAACAAAAAACACCACTTCTCCACAGGAAAAAAAAGTAATAGTAAAATAATTTCAGATCACTAATTGTTCAAAGACATTTCTGAGTAATGACCTTACCTGAACATGTGATAAGTCACTTTCCTTGAACTGCTGTAGTACAGACAGAGCTCCTTCTTCATTAAATTCCCTGAGAGCATCAATTGCTCTTTCATCAAGATCGACATAAGCTACCAATCCTAAAAATTAAATTGAAAAGGGGTAACGTTATTCCAACAAAAGGGGTAATCTAAGCTCTCCTGATGTTTAATCAAGAATTGGTATATTCAATATGATCACTAACAAACTATATTTTCATTTAACTATATGCATATATGCAGCTATCCAAATACTACATAGAAAGGTCCAGTACAAATATGAAAATAAAGATAAAATGTCAACAACCAAAAACATGAATTTCAATCTCCATATCCACAAACCGTCCCCACCAAATCCTAATATCCATTTCCCACTCCCCCAAAGGTACAAGTCTTGAAGGTTAAACCTGACGTACATACTGTATTACAGATTATGCATTAATATAACAAATTTTGGTTTATATTAGAGTGATAAGAATACACTGTATTTTCCAAGGATAAACCTTCAGATTACAGACCATTACAGTTGATGCTAACCACTTAAGAGGTGGAGGAAAATGTGAAAACAAATTTTACCAAGTAATTCTTTCCACTCTCCAAAAAGTGTCAAAAGACTTTCTCTCCTGAACACCAAAGATAAACTGAAAAGCATTTGTTTATCTGAGCATCCACTTTGCTGCAGTCAGAATGCGGAAAGGCATAATTTTAAACTTCTACAAATGCAAGTGCAGCTTGATTAATCAATTCTGAAAGTCATACTTTAAGGCATTCTTTGTTTTTCTGAAGTGATAAGCTGAGATTTAAAAGATGCTGTGGCATTCACACTGACTGTCAAGAATGACAATCTTTTTCAAATGGCAATAAAGACTTTATGGACTTACAAGTAAACTCGACAGAAAATACATACACTGCATTTCATATATGTAGTATATTCAACTGCACACAGAACATCTACTAAGTTTAAAATATAATTTCTTAAGTCTGTTAAGTTTATGTCATATTTATATATATGGAATATATTTCAGAATTGATCCAATGTAAAAATGGAAGTATTTCGTAGAATAAAACCCCCAAGTTCATATGAACATGAAAAGTGACTCCATTTTGATAAAGCCAAAAAGAACTTTATTCCATATAGTAAATTTTAAATAAATGTAATGCCACTTCCAAAGTTACTTTTTTAAAAAGTTGCCATGATTTGTTTCAAAAGCTCAAAATGAGCATGTGTAAATAACTGGAGTTGCCTTACTTGAATATTCCATACCACCACCCAAAGCCACAACTCAGGACACCCATCAATCCATTTTGTCAAACCAAGCCTACGACCAACCATCAGCCTCTTACCGATAACAAAACACTCTACAGGAGAGCATCTCTAAGCAGATCACTGCCAATTCTCTATGGCAGAATGTCACAGAAAGTTCCTGAGGACTGATTTTCAAATAAGACCATGACCCAGGAGTCATTTTTATAAGTCATTTTAATGTCTAAAATTACACTAAGCTTCCCAGATTTAAAAATTTTTTAAGGACAAAAAAAAAAAATAACCAGCTATTTGTTACTACTGTACTTAAGACACATTTGTGAGTGAGACAATTCAATTCTCTCTCAGAATCTGAATGGGCACACACAACACAGAGGAAGAAAGTTTCCATCTATGTCCCCAGAGGAGGAGGACACATTTATTTATGAACAACGCTCCCTAAGGGTAAATATTTCTCTCCCTCTTTAAAACTTCAAACCACTTACAACCAACCATATAAAGATGTTCAAATTTGCTTAAGCACTTAACCATGGCACTTCTGGATTAAAAAAAAAAAAAAAAAAAAAAAAAGCAGCTGTTACAAACCAAACACTTCCAAATTATGGAGAGATGTGGATTTCTATTAGAAACTAGACAAGCCACAAACTCTCAAGGAGTCTGACATTTATTATGGTTTCAGACGATACAGTCTAACTATCATCTTATTATGCCACCTAATCAGACCTAAGCTGATTTAACAATCACTTTAAGAAGCTAAAAGTAGAAAAGTAAAAGCAAAATGATGACTGATTTCAATTAAGAAAAAAATGTAAAATTTGGTATGCAGAAACATACATTTTAATGGGTGGTAAATCTAAGACAAACTGATGTGCTGTTCTGAAACAACTAAGACTGCATATTCAACACTAAGAAGGCTTCAAAATAATGAAATAAGGAGTATCAAAGTCAAACCCAATATGCCTTCAATGAAGGGAAAGTAACAAACATTCAGCTCTACAGATCAGAAACAATAAGTATTATTTAACCTTAAAAATCTATAAAATTCAAAGTGGTTTGCCCTCACTTTCATAACCAGTCAGAAACAAGAAATGCATATTATACCTGTCTGAAATATTTCATCAAGTCTTTCTGCCACCTTCTGTGGGAGGCCTGCCTCTATCAGTGTCTTGTAGTGTTCTGTGTGAGTTACACTGGAAGTATCCATTGGTTCTTCCTCTTCTTTTAACTGTACCGCATTACCATTCACCTGATTAGCCATTTTATTATGCTGCTGGAAAAAATTCAGGAGCTATATTACATTAAGCCAGAAATAACTAGTTTGTAGGACAATGCATGATTTATCTAAACTAATTTGTATACATGCTGCTAATAACCTCTATCAAAATAATAATTTATTCCTCCTGTGATGTATCTGACCTAAATTGGCAATAATAATCCTGTGAAACCATAGAAAATGTACATGGAAGCATTAGATCTTTAAGGAACTTCATGTACACCAGGTAAAATAAAGGCTTTAATTTACTGAAGGTAGAACTGCTGATTAACAAAAGCAGCTGTTGTGTCCTGGTAAAAAGATCAAAATCACTACAAAATCCTAAAAGCCCCTCAGCTCTCAGGTCTTACACAGTTTTAAAAAGTTTTGGTTTAAAAACAGAATGAACACCCACAGACCACTTAATCAAGATTTAAGGACTTTCAAATTTTCCTGGCTCTGCTTCAAATACAGTATCAGTGTGAAATAAGTGCCCTGTTTTCTCTAGTTCAACATGGTGGTGGTTTGGGTTTTCTCCACCTAACTTAACACAAAATGAAAAAAAAAAAAAAAAAAACCAACTTGACATTAATTTTTGTTCTAAGATTAATTCGCTATTCCCATTCACAGATTTAAAAGAAAAAATGACCAAGTTTAAAAGCGAAACAATTGTTTTAAGTCCACATAAAACACTAAGTGAGCTATAGTTCAGGTTGCTTTAAAAAAAAAAAAAAAAGTACATGTTGAAATTTTCATATCACTAAAATAAAGATGTAAAAACATACTGAAGAATAGACAACTTCTTCCAAATATTTCAAAAAACGTTACCTAATTAGGCTAAACTTCAGCCAGATTTCTCAGATTAACCTACCAAAAATAATTTTGTACATTCAGTAGGTAATGCTGAAATGGACTGATTCCCTGAAGAGAGAGAGTAAATAATAAACCATACAAGGCCAGTCTGTATACTGCCTCAAAAGACAGGGAATTAAAGTGCATTTGTCTGTGGTGAAATTATAATGTGATGAAGATAATAGGCAGCAGAACAAGACATTGCAACACATACTAAATAAAAGACATAAAGGTAGATCTCAAGAAAAAGCCTACTTTTCTTGATGAAACTCAAGATACCTAGTCATCTATAAAGAAAATACAAGTCTCCTACAAAGTACTAAGACACATAAGATAACCACACTTCCAGACAGCTTATCGAACATTGTGCAAATGCACCAGGTGCACTCTTCTGGCCTAAAACAACTTCTTTTCATTTCAAAGTCCACTGATACTTAGTCGAAGTTGATGAAAGAGGGAGGAAGACCAAGAGGGGAAGGAGGTAATAGTACAGAGTAGGAAGAAGAAAGGAAAATGCAAAGGGTTACTCTGGAAATGAGATAACATGACTCCTCACAATTACAAAACACTATTAAGACTCGATAGCCCTTAATAGACGCAGACTGTGGTTAAATTCTGGGTGGATGTTTCTCAAGGCAAGCTTCAAATTCTGATGAACTAGCAAAAACGGAAACATTCGAAACTGTCACACTTTTGATCAAGAAACTGTATTGTGTGAGATGAATACGTTTACTGATTAACACAACCTATTTCTATAAAGATGCATCCTAAACCCAAAATCTCCTTGCGAACATATAGTTCTGTTTTCCCATGCTCCCCCATCCCCACATACTACCTTAAGATCATCAGAACTCAAAAGTTCTCAGTATCACAAGACCCTTACAGCATTGCACCTAGGAATACTATTAGTCACAGAAAAGAGGCAAATTTTTAACAGAAAAGTTCAATGAACATCTGTTAAGGTGGTGTTTTTAAGTATGTGTAAAGCAAAAAGACAAGTTGTGTATTAAGCACAAGACAGAAATATTTATGCCTACCATATCATTGCAAAGGCTCTACAAGTTGATATTGAAATTGGTTAAATTTTTCCAAAAAAGTTTGTAAATTTTAACAAAAAAAAGGTAAAATAATTAGATTCCAGAAAATAAAACTTTCGGATCAAGAAAAGCCCTCTCTCTTCAAGCCAAATACAAAGTGCTCATTTTAAAAAGACTTTTTATGTCATATGAGACCATTTGAAACTCATGTCAATTCAACACAATGCCACACAGCCAAACCATATTTCTGGATGCAGCAAATATACTAACGTGACGGGAGTCATTTGATCTAAACATTTTTGCAAAAAAAGGAGACATTTTTAAAGATTTAAAAGGGCTGCTGGGAAATTCGGGATGTCAGCACTAACGCCTCCCTGACTTTTTCTGAACCTCCCTGTGCAAATTCTTCATATTAAGAGACGGGCTTTAAAAGAACCAACGAAATGAGACTAACGGTTATCTCATGGCTTAGCAGTGTCGAGCTCTCATCCTACGACTGACTCATGAGACATCAATTCAGCCACTTGAGGACTGCAAAAATCTCAAACAGGTAGTGTGAAAGGACTGAACCTTCCAAGAAGCCCTGGGCTTTTAAAAAATTTTGGCAATACGGTTACTACCGTATAAGAAAAAGGATCGCCTTTCCAATTTGGTGCGCCTCTGACGGTCTCAGAATTACCCATTTCAGGCGCCGCTTGGAGCCTAAGTTCCACGGCCTCTAGTAGTCATTTTTTCCTTCAAATCTCAGCCCGCGGCATGCAGAATGTGGGAGGGGAGGGAGGCTTCCCACACAAATCGGCCTTTTGGTTTCTGCTCACACAAAACTTTTCTCCTGGCTCAGATAACCCTGGGATTTGCACCCCGCCTTCCGCCCCCACCCCCACCCCCTCAGGCCGGCCCGGATCATCAGCACATCCCACTCGGGCTAGGCCGGCCGCGGCGGGAGCGAAGCGGCTCCGGCGGGGAGAAGCGGCAGGGCCGCGGGCGCCTCAGGCCCTTCGCGGGGTCCGGCCGCATGGAGCAGCGGGCGGAGGCGGGAAAAGCACGGCCGGCCCCGGCAGGCCGCGCGGAGAGCGCCCGGCGGGCCGGACCGCGGGCTGGAGGGGCGGGGGGAGGAAGAGCAAGGGCGAGAGGCGTCTCGGCCGGGCTAGGCCCACAGCCGCGCGGCCGGACTAGACCAAAGCCGCCCCCAGCCCGTCCCCACCCCCACCCCGGGGCTTCGGAGCGCAAACGAAACGGGACCAGGCGCGGAGCCCCGGCTGAGTTGGGTTGGATCGGGGCTCCCGGCCCCTCCCCCCACGGGCCGGCGCGAGACTCACCAGGGCAGAGCGGGGGCCGGCGGCCGGGCCCGTGAGAATCAGCGCGAGGCGCTTTGAAAACGACTAGAAATGGCGCGCGCGCCACCCCCTCCCCCCCCTCATGGACAGAGACGCGATCCCGGCAGCACGCGGGGTTTCCCGGAACTGCTTCCAGGGACTCCGAGCTGCGGGGCAATCGCTTGGCGAGGCGGCTTGACAGGCAGCTCAGGTGACCAATAGTATCGAGGCAAAACGGACCACGCCGGACGACTCGAGAGCCAATCGATGAAGCTGTCGGTTGAACCAATGAGGGTGCTCAGCGCCGCTGGCTGGGGCGCCTCCGAGGCGGGGGCAGGCACACAAAGGGGTCTGTGGTGGAAGCCCTTGGTGGTGGCGAGGCTTGGGGGCACCGGGTCCTGGGTGGACGAGGCTCCTCCTTCTTCGTCTGCCGCCGATGCGAGGCTCAAAATCTAGGCCTTGCGCCGCGTGGCCGCATCCAGAGCCCCGCCCCCTACAGTCAGCGCTGGCCCCGCTCCGCCATGGCGCTCGCGTCCCGCCACTGGCCGCGCTTAGCCCGCGAGTCCTCCCTCGCACCCCTGCTGCCGGCGTTCGCCCCAGACACGCCCATAGCCACGCGTTCGGGCCTCTTTCGGTCATCTTTTCGCCTCTAGTGAGCACACAATTTAAGGATGATTTGGCTCGTCATTTTGCTGAGGATTTTGTCTAGGTAATCTTTCCTTGGAACGATCGGAGAAATGCCTCTTTCCCTCCCTGGCTGCCGTCCACACATCGTTGGTGGCAGACTGTGAGGGAAATCGTTAAAATGACTCAAGAGCAATGTATAACACAAGTAATAGAGCAGGAACCTTTTCCCCACAGGATTTGGAGCTACTTGATATTCATAAAATAAAGCAGATACATCCATCTCTGAAGCCAAAAGAGCCATGCAGGGGAAAGGGGTAATTCCCAAAGGACACTAATTCTTGCTAGTCCTAAACCTATTTCTCGAGAACCTGCTATTTCTACTGATTTGTTCCCTGTCCTTAGTCCAAACCTGTCCCGTCTCACTGAAACCTTCCGAACTCACTTCTGTGGTGCCAGCCCTTTTTTTCCCAACCCCAGACTGCAATGCCCACCAAGTTAAATCTCTGGGTAGATCCAAGTTTTGTGTTATGGGGTGTGAGACTTACAGAAATGCCACGAGTCTTAGGCTGGGCGCAGTGGCTCACGCCTGTAATTCCAGCACTTTGGGAGGCCGAGGTGGACGATCATTTGTGCCCAGGGGTTCGAGAGCAGCCTGGCCAACATGGTGAAACCTCGTCTCTACTAAAAATACAAAAATTAGCCGAGCGTGGTGGCGCGTGCGTGTAATTCCAACTACTTGGGAGGCTGAGGCAGGAGAATCGCTTGAACCCGGGAGGTGGAGGTTGCAGGTGGAGTGTGCCATTGCACTCCAGCCTGGGTGACAAGAGCGAAACTCCTTCTAGAAAGAAAGAGAGAGGGAGGGAGGGAGAGAGGGAGGAAAAAGGAAAGGAAAGGAAAAGAAAGAAGGAAAGAAAGAGAAATGTTGGGAGTCTTTAAGAAAAATCATATTAAATGACTAATACAAATTTAGGAACAGAGGCTTGGAAGGGCATTGTAAAAGTGAGGGAGGACCCCGAAGCTTAACTTTTTTTTTTTTTTTTTTTTTAATAGCGACACGGGAAGTGCGAAGGGAATCTAGCTATGTTGCCCAGGCCTGTCTTGAACTCCTGGCCTCGATTGATTCTTCTGCTTCGGCCTCCCAAAATGCTGAGATTACAGGCACCCAGCCTGAAGCTTAAATTTTACTAGCTTCACATAAATCTGCCTCTAGCGCCATAATTTTTAACCTATTTTGTGCCATTTGGAAGTCTGGTAAAAGCTATGAATATCTTCTCAGTTTTTAAATGCATAAAATACATAGCAATACAAAAGAAACCATTTATATTGAAATACAATTCGGAAATATACTTTTAAAACATGTTCGTGATATAGTAAGCTTTTACTTTTATTTTTATTTATTTATTTATTTATTTATTTATTTATTTGAGACGGAGTCTCCCTGTGGCCCCCAGCCTGGAGTGCAGTGGCACAATCTCGGCTCACTGCAAGCTCCGCCTCCCGGATTCACGCCATTCTCCTGCCTCAGCCTCCCAAGTAGCTGGGACTACAGGCGCCTGCAACCACGCCTGGCTAATTTTTTGTAATTTTAGTAGAGACGGGGTTTCACCGTGTTAGCCAGGATGGTCTCGATCTCCTGACCTCGTGAGCCGTCCGCCTAGGAGAAGTGCTGGGATTACAGGCGTGAGCCACCGCGCAGGGCCCAGCTTTTACTTTTTAATTTTTTTGTTTGTTTGTTTTTTAAAGATGGGCTCACTTTATCACCCAGGCTGGAGTGCAATGGTGCAATCTGGGCTCATGGCAACGTCTGCCTCCAGGGCTCAACCGATCCTCTGACCTCAGCTTCCCTAGTGGCTTGTAGGAACTGCAAGCACTGGCCACTGCTCTGGGCTAATTGTTGCTTTTTTTTTTTTTTTTTTTTTTTTTTTTTTTTTTTTTGCAGAGACGGGTTTCACCCTGTTACCCAGGCAGGAACTTTTTCTTTATTAACACAATAACTATTAAGATCTTAGAGCAGGTCTAATAACTACAGAAATTGTAGAGTCAAGAAATCCATGACAGTAATAAAGTGATATGAAAATGATTTCTATTGGTGACAAAGGGAAAGGTATTACTAATGCTACTGTGATATGTTGTCTACATTCACAATGGGGGAAAATGCTAAATTTCAGTTAGATGTTAGATAAAACAAAGACATTATTTTTTTTTCCCCCATCCAAGTTAAAGTACTCCTTACTTCCATTCAGGGACTCCTTTAAGTCCATTGATGAGAACCCATGAGCCAGATATGTAATTTTTTTTTTTTTTTCTTGAGACACAGTCTCACTCTGTGGCCCATACTGGAGTGCAGTGGTGCAATCTCAGCTCAATGCAACTTCCACCTCCCGGGTCAAGTGATTCTCCTGCCTCAGCCTCCCAAGTAGCTGGAATTACAGGTGCCTGCCATGACATCTGGCTAATTTTTGTATTTTTAGTAGAGACGGGGTTTCACCATGTTGTCCAGGCTGATCTCAAACTCTTAACCTCAAGCGATCCGCCCACCTCGGCCTCCCAAAGTGTTGGGATTACAGGTGTGAGCCACCGCGCCTGGCCTAGATGTGTAATTTAAAAAGATTCTATCACCCAGTATTTTCTGGGATAATATTTCAAATGTTCTGCTATGTAGTCATCAAAGGTATAATCCACATTTCAGACCATATATCTTGATTTTTTTACTTGGAACTTTTTTTTTACTTGTGGAGTGTTGAAACTCCACAAGTATGTATTGCATGCCTCTATGTAAAAATCATGGAGTTGGCCAACACGGTGGCTCACGCCTGTGGTCCCAACACTTTGGGAGGCCATGGCAGGCAGATCACCTGAGGTCGGGAGTTCAAGACCAGCCTGACCAACATGGAGAAACCGGGTCTCTACTAAAAATACAAAAATTAGCTGGGCATGGTGGCACATGCCTGTAATCCCAGCTACTCCGGAGGCTGAGGCAGGAGAATCACTTGAACCTGGGAGGCAGAGGTTGCGGTGAGCTGCGATCACACCATTGCACTCCAGCCTGGGCAACAAGAGTGAAAACTCCTTCTCAAAAAAAAAAAAAAAAAGAAAGAAAGAAAAAATAAAATATTGGAGTTAAGAGTAGGGAAAGCCGGGCGCCGTGGCTCATGCCTGTAATTCCAGCACTTTGAGAGACTGAGGCAGGTGGATCACGTGGTCAAGAGATCTAGACAATCCTGGCCAATATGGTGAAACCCTGTCTCTACTAAAAATACAAAAATTAGCTGAGTGTGGTGGCTCACATCTGTAGTCCCAGCTACTCAGGAGGCTGAGGCAGTAGAATCGCTTGAACCCAGGAGGTGGAGGTTGCAGTGAGCCAAGATCGCGCTACTGCATTCCAGCCTGGCGACAGAGAAGGACTCTGTCTCAAAAAAAAAAAAAAAAAAAAGCCAGGCGCGGTGGCTCATGCCTGTAATCCCACCACTTTGGGATTCTGAGGCTGGAGGATCGTTTGTGTTCAGGTGTTCAAGACCAACCCAGGCAACATGCTGAAACCCCATCTCAACAAAAGTTGCAAAAATTAGCCGGCTGTGGTGGCACATGCCTGTAGTACCAGCTACCCAGGAGGCTGAGGTAGGACGATCATTTGAGCCTGGGAGGTGGAGGTTGCAGTGAGCAAGTGAATGCACCACTGCACTCCAGCCTGGGCAACAGAATGAGATCCTGTATTTAAAAAATAATAAATAGCTGGGCGCGGTGGCTCAAGCCTGTAATCCCAGCACTTTGGGAGGCCGAGACGGGCGGATCACGAGGTCAGGAGATGGAGACCATCCTGGCTAACACGGTGAAACCCCGTCTCTACTAAGAAATACAAAAAACTAGCCGGGCGAGGTGGCGGGCGCCTGTAGTCCCAGCTACTCGGGAGGCTGAGGCAGGAGAATGGCGTAAACCCGGGAGGCGGAGCTTGCAGTGAGCTGAGATCCGGCCACTGCACTCCAGCCTGGGCGACAGAGCCAGACTCCCTCTCAAAAAAAAAAAAAAAAAAAAAAAAGAAGTATGGGGGCCGGGCGCGGTGGCTCATGACGGTAATCCCGGCACTTTGGGAGGCCAAGGCAGGCAGATTGCCTGAGGTCAGGAGTTCGAGGCCAGTCTGGCCAACATGGTGAAACTCCATCTTTACTAAACACACACACACACACACACACACACACACACACACAAACCGAGTTCGGTGGCCTGCGCTTGTAACCCCAGCTACTCCGGAGGCTGAGGCGGGGGAATTGCTTGAGGCAGGGAGGTAGAGGTTGCAGTGAGCCGAGATCGCGTCACTGCACTCCAGCCTGGGCAACAGAGTGAGACTCTGTCTCAAAAAAAAAAAAAAAAAAGGTTGCTAGGGGAAGCTCCAGCTATACCCATAATTTCTGAAATTAGGTAACATGGTGCAGCCAGGCCCTTCTGCATCTCTTCCCTGTTACAGACCAAACCTGTTGTCTGAGCTGGTATGTCAATGAATATACTTTTGCTTCTTATAACAATTACAGGGGCCAGGCATGGTGGCTTACGCCTGTAATCCCAGCACTTTGGGAGGCCGAGGTGGGCAGATGTCCTGAGCTTAGGAGTTTAAGACCAGTCTGGGCAACATGGTGAAACTCCGTTTCTACAAAAATTACGAAAATTTTGGCTCACACCTGTAATCCCAGCACTTTGGGAGGCTGAGTCAGGTGGATCACCTGAGGTCAGGAGTTCGAGACCAGCTTAGCCAGCATGGTAAAACCTCATCTCTACAAAAAATTAGCTGGGCGTGGTGGCTCACACCTGTAGTCCCA